ACTCGCTCCGTGTGGCGCGCTTTTCATCTTTCCTCCACCCGTTCGTTCCTTCTTCTTCTCCTTCTTCTTCCTCTTCTTCTCCTCTTCCTCCCTCTCCTTGCTCTTCGTCTGCTCGCTCTCACAGGTTGGAAGAAAGGCAAACGGAGGAATGAAAGGGACAAGATTCTAATTGGAGGAGGAGGCTGAGACAAAAGTAGGGGGATAACGAAGGGAAGCAACGATAACACATGTAAAACACAAAGCCTTAATCTTAGAGAGCATTTGGAGGGATCTCTCATTTCTTTCCCTCCACATTGAAGCGAGGCGGGGGGTTGTGTGTATGGGAACACGAGGGGATAGGATGTGATTATGAGCACAGAGCTGACAGACAGATAGATTGGTGTGTGTATATGTCTGGGGATATGTGTGTGTATCCCCACAGGGCCTTCAGATCCCTCTGTTCGTAGGGACCAACTTAAGAAAACCGTGTACTTTTACAGTTGTTTACTTATTTGGAGACAAGTGCAACAAAGTACTAATTTATTTAAGTACCTACATCTGTACTGAACACCTGTGAATATGTTTTGCACACAACTTGCTCTCTTTTTAGTTGGACTGTCAAAGAAGAAGCAAAGACAAAAGCATTTAAAAGATCAAGTCCAATAATCCTGAATATATGTGTTATTGCTGTTTCTATCTGCTCGGCCAAATGGCTGGCTGCCTCTCAAACTCTCTCCATCCCTCCCTGTAGTGCTTCTCCTTTGCATGTGGATTCTGCCTATTTACTTATTTGTGTCGCCTATGAGCTTCTCTGACATGCTGCTGAGCCTCCGGGGTCCTCGGGTGATATGATAGAGCTCGGGGACTTTGGTTTCCTTGTGACTGCTGTGAAACTCCATTCAGATGATGAAACTGCGGTGCAGCTGTGTCTGCAGCTCACGGTGGGATGCTGGTGTCTTTGTGGCTCTCTGCAAGGCTGAGGCAAATTCTCACTGATGAAAGAGTCTGCAAATGTGCGTCTTTTGCCCGGGCCCATATCTTCTCACAGGAAAGCCATTCCGACTGTCTGGCTATCTGCTTGCATGTATGTTTGTGTGGATTTAGCGTCCGAGGCCAATAAATCCACACCATTTTCTTATGATCCCCTTTAACAGCCCCGCATGCCCACTAATGTCAGAAAGTGTTGTTTTTATAGACGTACTTTGTTAATTAGCGTGTGTAGGCACTGGAGTGAAGAAAAACCTAATTATGGCATGAAGCACAAATGACATGTGTCAAATTTTTTTTCCCCACGAATCACGCCACGGAGTTTGGATCTTGTGAATCACAGAGAGGCTGAAAATAACAGTAAAAGATAACCTGGCAAAGCACATTTCCACAGTCTTCCCTGAGGTGATGCAAGACTTTAGACAAATGTCTTGTTTGTTCACCACTGAATGGCCATCTTTCAAGGGGTGGCATGCCAGCACAAGCACGCACAAACACTCCTTCCCACACACACACACACACACACACACAAACATATGCACATAGGAGCAGATCATTTTTCTCCCTCGTGAAGTAGGTAGCGAGAATATTATAAACCAAAATCATAACGCATTGCCTTCGGCCAGAGGTTGGACGAGGAGAGGAGAGGCAACTGCGTAATTGAATTACTGTCTGACAGACAAGGAGATAGATAGATAGACAGATAGATAGATAGACAGATAGATAGATAGACAGATAGAGAGAGAGAGAGAGAGAGAGAGAGAGAGAGAGAGAGAGAGAGAGAGGCATAAATTTGTGTGTGCCTGTGTGTGCATGTAAGTGAGAGAGTGACAGCAAAGAGCCTTATCCAACATTAATAACAGCCACTAATCCCCTGATGTGATTACCTCTCCCTCCCTCCTCCTCTACTTTACCACCTCTCCTTCCATCCTTCCACACTCTTTCTCCCATTCAACAGCGCCAGCCACTTGTCTTCCATTGCAGAGCTCAGCTGGTCCAATCCCCTGAACAGATCCAAGACTTCCACTGTGTTCAGCTGCCAGGACGATGGAGGTCTTCCAATTTGACGCCTCTCTTTACTAGAACTCGCCTCTGGGCAGGTGTATGAAAAAGCAAAAGTCAGTGGTGTTAGCGTGGAGATGGAAGCAAATTTAAACAGATTAAGAGCCATGCCTCTGTTCAAAGCTCTGACACTTAATGCTGTCTGAATGAGAGGTGACGTGTGATATGAATCGTGCAGGCTATGGTTTTGGATGTTCAAACGTTTATGGAAATATCTGCAAGCATTAAGGATTATGGGTGTGCAAAGGGAAGCAACAAGCATGTCAGTATAGCTATTTCTGTCCTCAATGACTGGCTGCCAAATGCAATTTTTTTTCTCCAGCATTTTATAAACTCGCTACATCAATATAAAGTCTAGTGTGTTTCTATGGAAACTTAGACCTCCGAGAAGGTTGAAATTCACCACTTACTCAAGATCTGCTCAGTAATAGCATGCTATAATGAATATTTACAGTGTGCTTAGTTTACATACATGTATCACAGAGTTCAGGGATTTTACAAAGTTGCATTGTGCACATTTTTGAAGTTTGAATAGTCTGAGTGTGAATCAACGCTAATCAAATCTTTAACAGATGAATATTGTAACGCTGTACACACACTGAGAGCCTCGCAAGGAAAAGTACGCAGAAACCAACACACACAAACCCAGATGAACTGATGGGTCCTTCCTGGAAATGACTGTGGAGTACAACATTGCACATGGTTTACTTTGTGATATCTCCATGGCAACTACTATGTCTGACCTTCAAACATGTGCGCTGACTTCTGTGTGGTTAAGGTCGGCTAATCAGATCACATCATCGTGAACACAAATGTGCCCTCAGATCGCTCTTGCTTCATAAATGAGGTGATTTCTTTTGTTTTTTTACACCCTAACAACCAACACAAGTTTGCCATCAGTCCAGTTCACGCAGAACTTTTGGTTCTGATTTTAGCATCGCTGCGTTGGACTGTTTTCATTTCCACAATGACAGCCATGCTGCAGCTCTAAGAAGATGAAAAGTTCCCTGTGCTGTAGTTTGCAGGGGGTTTGAATAAAGACTTGAATCAATTAGTGCTTCTTTCATCAGCAAATAGGCCATACCCCTGCATGCTTTCACAGGCTGCCTCTGTGACTTGCCTTCTCTTTTTTGTTCCAGCTTAACTCTCTGGCCCTTTCATTTGTGCTCTGTTCAATACTCTCATCTGCTCTGTTATTCTCAAGTTCATAAGCCTCTCCATAAGGGCCAACATCTGGCAGCTCCTTGGCCCCAGGGCCGTGCATCCGTTCCGGGGCAACGGGGCCTGGAGATCAGCCCCTCCTGTGGAGCTGAGCCTTTGGTGTATGTGGTACCGTTCAGCGTCCCCACTTCCTGAATGTTGAGGCCTTGATGTGGCCAGAACCATAGTGCATGATTTATTACAGTGCTAACTCTGTCCCCACTGCTAGTGCCATTATTATAACCATACATCCTCAGTCTTCAAGCTCCCACCTGCAAATTTCACAGTGAAGCCTTTAGCAGGCACAGCTGACACAGCTCTGCACGGCCTTCATAAGGAGTTTTCTGGTGTTACCTTAATGCATGTTTGATCCCAGATGTTTAAAGAGGACCAGAAGTAAAAACTGTTGGGACGATGACGCATATACTGTACACTAAATTGATCATCGAGATCAGCTGTCCCTTTGGTGTCTCAACCCCTTGTTCTTTGTATATTGACTACTGCTTTCTCGCTTTGTGTGGGTTTCCGGCGGCAGGCATGGTCCAGCAAGAACCAATGAAGCTGTGGGTGGAGGTGGCTGGGAGGTAAATTGGTTTTTGGCTGTGTGGCCAATCAAAGGGACCTCATCAAAGTCATCGAACCAGCGTTTCCTACAACCTTCCTTGCCTGTTTTCGTCTGTTTGTGTAAGTGCCACACAGTTTAATCAGAGGGACTTGAGAACAGAGAGTAAGATGGATGAAAGAAGAAAAGGATGCGGAAGTTTGGAGGAAAGCACCAGGACAGGAACGGGCGCCGATATTTGTGTAAGCGAAGCCAGATTGAAGAGGCAGAGGAAAGTGGAAAAACGGCAGCAGAAGTGAGGGGTCCCGAGACGAGAGGAAGTCCAGAAAGGAGGGATGTGGTGGAGCTTTGTTTACAGGCCAGGGTCACAAAGTATACTGTGACTTTGTGCGTCAGCAGCTCTGAGTTTGTGATGGGTTACCACAGAAAAGCAATAATCAAGCAATATTTACACCACTGTAGAGAATTAGTCCATTTCTCAGGAAGTCAGTTTGTGAAGTTAAAAACAACAATTCTTCCATCTGTGGTTTAGTCGTAGGACATTTTAAAGAGATATAAACAAGCAGAAACAGGAAGTGGAAGTCGTTTAAAAAAATTAAAAAAAAAAAACATCCATGCGTGCACACACAAACATTGATCACTACTGTGCCATGTGGTCCCCGCTGAGACACATGGCTTAGGTATCCCCCCTTGTGATCCCCCATTAGTCTGAGACTCCCTCTCAGGCAGCTGCCTCAAAGCTCCACGGAGGTATCAGATCTCCTCCTCTTCCTCTTCTCCTTAATTAGGACTATTAAGAGATTTACAGGACAGATGGGTGGAAATCCAGCTGGCTGCAGCGCCAGCCGCTGAGGACGGCTCTGCTGATGGCGACGTGAGAGCTCAGTGAGAGCGGTACATCAGCTTACCAGTGAAACTCTGGTGCCCTCTGGTGGTTGGAGATGGTTGTTGAGTTTTGAATGATTTCAATAAAGAAGCAGCTCTAACATTTCATTTATAATTATATAAAGTGGTAAAATGTAACTTTTAATTAATTTGTGGGGAGTTTTTTTTTTCACTGAAGAGATTTAAGCAAAAGCAGCCATTACAATTCACTTTTAAGTCCAGCAGGTTTTTTTTTTATTTAAAGAAAAAAGTTGTGATTGCACGCATTTGTGGTTTTAACTGATGATTTATAGAGCACACTTTAAACAAATGCATTCAGCACAGCTTGTGGCTAAGTGTTAATTTATTCTGTGATTGTTAAATAAACACACTGTGGTTTACACCGTGAAATAAAATACATGCAGAAGGACAAACACTGTAAAAGTTTCACAAAAACAATAGCAGAGCTGTCGTGCGTTCCCATTACATGCAAAACTAAAACTAACAAACAAAAAAACTGATGATTCGATGATGACTGTAGAAACGCAACCACACACACAAACAGAAGCTGCTTTATAAAAACCAGAGTCCCCCTTTTTGTAAGCTTATTTAATGAGTGTTTTCTTTTGGTTAGTTGTAATCAGCCCGACATGTCGGTGACGTTTTAGCAGATTAGTCATCTTTCCTCTGTGACAGACAAAAATATACATCTTTTTTTTTTTTTGCAAATGTGAAATTTAAAAGTACTTTTTGTCTTGGTTAGTTCTACGATTCTTCCACAGCCCAAATTAACTCTGTGTTTTACAGCTCGTGTAGTGACTCGCAGTCTGTGTAGCGTACTTCTCCATTACCCAGCCAGCTGCAGATGAGAAAAAGTGACAGTTTTAAGCAGATCATTTCTCAAGTTGAACGTGGCGTGCGCTGCAAACACTTACATGCTCAGGGTGCCTTTTTTCTGTTTTAGTCCTGTGAAGAGAGAGCATACAGTTCAGGGGAGGAAGCTGGGTTTCTATAAGGAGCAACGCTGCTAAGCACACTTACGGCGAAGCTGCCACGTGGTTAATATGGCGCCTGTTACCACCAAGAGGCCCACCGCTACAAAGATGCCTATCAGGTGATGACTAGGACTGTTCAAAGGGCTTGCCTAGCAGAAAGGAGTACCATAAAGCTGATCTGCTCAATCAAGTGAACTATTTAGCATTATGTGTAGTTGTTTGATTTTTCTATGGTAGCATCCAAATACTTACAGTATATGGCATCATGCTGGTAATGAGTATGTCCTTCTCATGACCTACAATGCACAACCACAAAGGAAATGAGCTAGGAGGAAGTCCAGCAAATGTTGTGTTCGGCAAAACAGCTTAACACGCAGAAACAACGAGTGCAACTAAACAGGCCCACTGTGAAGCAGCTTCCTGATGTTTGAGGAACTACAATAAACTGCAATAATAAAATTGTCGCTCGTTTAAATTTTGGGGCAAGATAATAGAATATGAACAAAAATCCCTTCTTCTGCCTTGACACGAGGAAACAATTTCCCGTTCATTAATGAACCACAGCATATGGGAAAAGCAGCCCTGTTCTGCCTGATGAACTGCACAAACACACAACTACAGGAGCAATAATACATTTTTTAATGAAAATAACACCTGCTTCCCCAGTGGTGATCGTGAGGACATTGCTGGCTGCACTGGTGGCCTGGCTGTTCTTGGCAAACATGCGGACGTTGTATGTCGAGGGATTCATCTCTATTATTGTGGCCTCCGTCTCATGGGCTCCAAAGTCCACAGCGTTCTTTGTGTAATCCCAGGAAGCTGAAAGGAAAATATTTAACTTAATATCACAGAGTGATATGAGGATTAACAGTGTAAATTTAGCTTTAGAGCTTGTATTAAAGTGAAGTTTTTACCATTCACTGCTTTGTACTCGAGGAAATACCCGGTGATGGGGCTGTCACCTTCGGAACTATTCCAAAAAAGGGAAAACGAATTGCTGTCCACCTTCTTTAACTCGATCACTGGGGGATCCGGGGGCACTAGAAGATATTTAACAAGTAAAAGAAGTTTTTATCTTTTCAAGCGTTTGATTTCTGGTTTTAGTATGAGAGTTATGTCTGGGAACCATTATTTTCAGAAACTAAATCAGGGGTGGAAACAAATGTTCCCTTTAAATGTTTTACCTCCTGAGATACTGGCAGTGCTTTGCTCCCAAACTGTGGCGGCATAAAAAGTTATTGAGATTGTTGAAGGTGATGGGGTTGCTGAAGTTGTTGAGGTTGCTGAAGTTGATGGGGTTGCTGAAGGTGATGGGGTTGCTGAAGTTGTTGAGGTTGCTGAAGTTGATGGGGTTGCTGAAGTTGATGGGGTTGTTGAAGTTGATGGGGTTGCTGAAGTTGATGGGGTTGTTGAAGTTGTTGAGGTTGCTGAAGTCGATGGGGTTGCTGAAGTTGTTGAGGTTGCTGAGGTTGCAGAAGTTGCGTAAACTTGAAGTAGAGTAAAAGAAGAAGCAATTCCAGTAAGTCATTTCTCAAAAAATAATTGAGGAAAAAGTTACACTTGCTCGATAACACGTACCCGAGGAAAAATGTAGCCGCATTGTGGCAGCAGTGGAAGAAGGCAAAGTAGTTACTGTTGTTGTTGTTGTTGTTGTTGTTTTAGGAACTTTAAATAAAATGCATGAAATCAAACTGACATTAAAAAAATATGACAAAAAATAGTTTTTAGTCATATTTTGTAATTTTTAAAAACTTACTCTCATCCAGAGTTGAGCAGAGAGGTGCATTTGAAGCTGGTCCGACCCCGGCGATTGTTTTGGCCTGTATGAGCACGCCGTACATGGTAGAAGGCTTCAGGTTAACAAGAGTGACGGTCTCTTGTTCACGCGTGGCCGCCACAGTTAAATACTGCCACCGTTTAAACTGTTTGGCCACAGGGGTCATACTCTCTGTAGTTAATGTTGTAACCCCGCAGAACGCCGTTTCTCAGCTCAGTCCTCGGAGGCTAGTCGAGAGAAAAGAGTTAGTCTACTATGTCCAGTCACAAGCCAGTGCTGAACTGTGACTTTACCTTCCAGGTTACTTTGATGCTGCTGGAACTGAGGGCCACAAGCTGCATATCCAGGGGCGGGCCCTCTGGTGCTGCAGGGAAAACAAATTTTAAAGGGAGCAACCACCAAAAATGTGAATTTGTTTTTACATTCTAGATCATTATATTTATCATAAAAATACTAACACATAAATGATGCTGAAACAAACCTGCTTCTTTTGCAGTGATAGTGAGAACGTTGCTGGTTTCACTCATCCCAACGCTGTTGATGGCGAACACGCGAAGGTTGTAGGTCTTGGATGGACTCAAATCCACCAAAGTCACGTGAGTCAGTGAAGGATCGTGCAGCTCGGTGGTTTTTTTTGTTTCCCAGGGTGCTGTGCAGCACAAATCCATAGATTCTGACTTTAAAATAACTTTTGAAATATCTCAAAATCTGTCATGGATACTGGGTCGGTTTTCTTGTGCTTACTCTGTTTGTTTTTTATATCAACCCTGTAAGCTGTAATGGGACGGCCGCCGTCGAACACAGGACTCCAGCGAATAGTGACGGTCCTTTCCTTCACCTCTCTTGCCTCGATTCTCAGTGGATTCGGTGGAACTAAAAGGTAAGGGAAAAAACTAAATATGAGCTTATACAATGCTGAAATAATGAGATGACTAATCAGTTACCAGACAAAAACTGAAACTACCCAAAAAAAAAAAGATTTTTAACTAAACATGCTGCTTATTTTATTAAATTTGTCTTTGCCTCACCTGCATTCACTTTCAGAGTCACGTGATGTTTCTGGTCATTGAACCAGCCTGGTATTTCCACACGACAGCCGTACACGCCAGAGTCCTGCTCCTCGGCGTGCCTGATGGTCAGAGACACATCACCCTGGCCAAGATTGCCCATGAGCAGGTAACGTTCTGACAACCTGCTGATCACTGACGTCCCATCTGTCTTTAGCACCTCGTTGGCACAGCCGCTGTTAGGTATGGTTCCCTTGCCCCAGCATGCAGAAAGCCTGCCGTAATACTTTGCATCATAGCTGCATTTTAAAATAGCATCTGTTCCCACCGTGACTGTTACAGTTTCTGCAGACACGAAACCTGAAAAGGCATTGAGATTTTTTTTTACATTTTTTAAATGGAAAAAATACATTAATTAGTCACTGCACAGCTAAATCAAATGCAAATCATATGCATGGCTGTCTTACCTGCAAGAAAACAAAAGAGAAGGTTGCAATACACAGCAAGGTGTTTGCTGGCCAAAATAATCATTTTACCTTCTTCTCTCTAAATCAAAGGACAGATTGGTTGACCTGCTAAACACCACTAAACGAAACCCAGGGTGGTTTCAGCTCTCAAATATTTCCAGATCACATGATGCTTCCTTGATAAGCACACACAAACAACTTCTGCTGGTAGAAGAGGAATGTAGAAAGGAGCTGTTTCCTTTTTTGTGGTTTTGGTTCCTTTTACTAGAAGGGGCAAACTGTTTCCTTTTTGATGATTAGACAGACACAGAATCAAGGTTATCAAAATGACGAATTCATTCCCAGTGTTGGTTCCCAGCTTCTGTAGCAGTGGTAGGGATAGAGCATTAACTATTCAAAATATCCTCCCTGCATCTCGGAGACTAATGCTTTAAATTGTTACTAATAATTTATTCCAGCAGGAAATATTCAAAGTAACTTCAAAACATGCTATTTACTCATCAGCACAAGGCATTTAAAGAGATACAATGCACTTTGGTCCACTGAAATCAAATATTTATTGTGTCCTCAAATTTAACGCATTAAATACATTTTTTTAATGTAAAAAGAAGGAGAGACTGGTTTAACCAAAGGCCATTGAACTGGTTTCTTTGAGTGCTGAGTAAACGTTTGGGCATGGTGGCTGTTTAGTAACCCAGCAAAGAACTTCCTCTCTGATAAGAACCCAAGACACATGCGGTTTTCTGCCATTTCTTAAAAAAGCTAGTAGATTTTTTTTTTTTTTATCATGTTTCTTTAGAGGATTGAAAGGCAAACTTTTTTTTGTACATGCAGTACCTTAAGTGAGTGAGCAAACGAAATTAATTAAAATAATCATTAATTATACAGTACTATACAGTAATGTGCAAACATCTTAAACATTACTGTATTAGCATATCTTATGTCTTAATAATTTATTTGGGACATTGGTAATTTGTGCATCAGTTGTTGTTTTTTTTAATATAATGAAATGCAGCATATAAGGCAAAACAGTATATTTTTAAAAAAAAACTTGAAGGTCAATATTTATTCTTCAACACAGTCAGCTTTCTGCTAATTTCTTTAAGTAGTCTTCAGGAATGCTTCTCCTGACTTTTTAAAGGACAATCAAAGCTCATCTTTGGATTTTTGCTGCCTTATTCTGTCAAAATGATCCCACGCTGCTTCAATAATGCTGATGTGCGGCCTCTGTGGAGGCCAATCCATGACTGACAGTTTCAAATGAGTGTTTTTGTCTAAGCTTTGGTATTGGCGATGTGTTTGAGATCATTTTCATGCTGAAAAATCAAACTGTTGTCAGTCAGACAATAACATGATGGTTTTGCATGGCGGATGAGGAAGACAGTCTGGCCTTTGAAACAAAATATAAAAGAATAAGGGGTGGCTCAAGACCTTTGCACAGTATTGTTTGTACCATCACATTTCGCGTTTATCTCTGCGTGAAATTCCAAACTAGAAGGATTTCTGAGAAACTATTCTTAACAAATTTTTTTCGCTTGTTTTTTTTTAAAAGATAAAATGGAAAGAGACATAAAATGGAATTCATGGAAAGAGCAGTGAAACAATGTGGTTAGCTGGAAACCAGACGCTCACTGCTACAAGGGCTTCTACCCACGTAGTACAGAACCCAGCTACTCACCTATCAGGCTGCCCTCGTACAGTTAACATTTATGAGAAACAGGGTGAAACAAAGTGTGACAGTGTAACCTTGGTGCCGCTTGTGTCGTCTTCTTGTGACCTCACTGAAAACTTTTTTTTGTTTTCCAGGGGATCGGAAACAGTTACTTTCACTCTTAATTTCTTCTATTTAGCTTATATTACCACTGGGGGGGTTTATAGAGAGAGGAACTAAAAGCAAAAGAGAAGCAACTTTCTTTTAATGAATTGACGTGAAAATCTGTGTAATGGTTTTTACAGTCAATATCTCAGAGCAAGCAAAAATGTTGCTCTGAGATATTGTTATTAAAGAGACATTTGATTACAGACTAGTATGTTGTAAAACAGTGAAGCCCTTGTGTTAAAAAAAATACAGCAACAAAGTATACATTGGTAAGATTACAGTGACCTTGGTTATTTTTTGTTCATTAATATTTTGGCATTAGATCCAGTAGGTGGCATTGTGTTACTAATATAACAGCAGCCTTTTTTCAAGCCACACAAGTGCATTTTCTGCCATCAAATAACAGCAAAACAATGGATTTATCATTCATTTATGTGAACAGCATTAGTGCTCAGACACAAACAACACGTTTTCACATTTTATTTTAGTCTGAGAATGGCGGCCCCTATTCTGAACATGGTATATTTTCTTTCATACTGATTAGTGGGGGTCAAAAGGTTTCTCTTCAAATAAATAAAGTCAACAAATATCTTAGCAGCAAAAAAAAAAAATCTGCACATCTTTGTTCTTCAAAGGAAAATGTTTGCTGAGATGAATTCTTTGAGACAAGTATTACTTCTGTTTAGAATTGAGAGATCAGGAAAAACACATTTTATATGAACTATTTCAGAATTCATTTAGAACAAACAGGTAATAAAATCCCCCAATATTAACTCTGTAACTAGGAGACAAAAAAGGATGACCCAGTCTCAGTGGCTTTAACGTTGTAACCTGTTATCAATTTAACTGTTAAACCTATATCATTTTTCTCGGTAAACCCTACAGACAGTTGTGTGGGGAAAATCCCAGCAGATCGTCACTTTCTGAATTGCTCAGACCACCAGCAACCATGCCAGGTTGAAATTCACGTATTCACCTTCCTTCCCCATTCTGATGCTCGCTCTCAGTTTCAACTTCAAAAGGTCGTCTCAACAGTGTCTTCATGCCTAAATGCACTGAGCTGCTGCCATGTGATTGATTAAACTGATATTTGTGTTACCTAATAAAGTGGTCAGCGTGTGTAAATACCACATACTATGTTTCATTCATAAATATGAAAATAATACCTAGTTCAGCCACATCTGAAAAATCTTGCTTCAACTATATTTTGAGCTGCCTTGCTCCTTTACTACAGTGAAAAACACAACCACTGTTTCTCCTGCAGGAATAGAGGGCAGGTGTTGACTTTACTGATGCCCACAAAGTGCTGGGAAAACATTTTGTCTCAGCTAGACCATCTTCCATCTAAAAAAGGCGTGTTAAATATTTATTATGCCCAAAGGTGGGTTTAATCAATATTCACATTTTGTTATTTGTGGATAATGAAAGTTGGGCAGCATCACTTGGATGTTGCATCATGGCTCTACAATCAACTGGAGTTAACTAACGAGTTTATTTTGGTACAAAAGGGAACCTTCATACCTTTCAAGTCTAAATGAAACTTGTAGAAGTACATTCGTAGTTTCCAACACATGCTTACAGTAAGCGTGTGCTGCCTAAAACAGTTGTTTTAGGCAGCACACGCTCCATCTATTAAACACTCTCATTACGTTAACTCCCCTGTTAAACAAGACAGAACTGAGCACAGTGTGATTTCAGTGTTAAAATATTTCCAAACTGCATGGTGCTGTTTTTAGTTTAAGCGCCTAACAACTCATTTTTCTTCTCGCTAAAGCGGAACAGAGCTGCTTCTGTTTTTGTTGCATTGGTTCCCCATCCAAAATCCAGCATTATTTCAATGAAATGTGCAGAAATCTGAACCGAACCGATCGATCATTTCTTGTGTGGTTCAATTAACACAGGAGGTGCCACAGGTGCAGAATCCCCTTCTCATATTTTCTTTGTTTATCTGTTCATGACATGCTGATCTGGATAGGAAGACAAATCTAAACAATTTCATATTTTTTGCTCATTGGCAAAGATATACGCAAAATAAAACTTCAAAAAACACTCATAATTTTTGGTTTACCAG